ATTTATTTTACTGAAATGTGCACAGCAACTCTGACATAGTGCGTTAATTTGTGTAAATTTCAGCCATGAAGAAGAGGTTTATTTTGGCCATGTGACAGGAAGCAGGGATGTAATCACTGTGACTCAGAGTGCCATTCCTTTGAGTGCTGAGATGCCTGGTTACATTTTAAATGATGACATAGTGTCCTTGTATAAAAGCAGAAATTCACTGCATGTGTATGTCCATTGCCAGACACAGAGAGAAGCATATTTCACACAAAACCTATATCCTTTTTTGTCTAATGTTTGTCAGTGCTAGGATATTTTTTTGAAAGTAGCATGAAGTGAGATCCCTGCTTAGAGCTGCATTTTGTCTTAGGGAAAAAAAGTTTCTTTGCTAACAGCTCCCTGTGGGCCCCATTAGAGTTACAGAAATGTCACATTGTATGTTGCTATAGTATCTCAGGAGATTAATCAAAATCTCAGCGTTTCTGATCCACAGGGCTTGAAGCTGAATTAGTCACTGTGGACCCAATCATTGCTGCCCAGAGTCAAAATTCTCAGAAGTATTATTAGGGAACAAGGAATTTACAAGAAAAATCATCTGGAGAGACACATCTCATTAACGTCTAGGTAGCTGCCCTTGGGTGATTAATTGCACAAGTTTCATTTTTAGAAAGAAGTTGCAATTAAAGGGACGCTGCGTAACAAAACAAAGTTTAATGATTTTATAGGTTGACTCTGTTTACAGCTTTTTTTGTAGGAAATATGGCTAGACTGAGGTGCTCTTTCAGTCTAGAGATTATTTTTTCGCAGTTCATCTCAGTTTGAAAATCCAGATATGTGCTTTGAAGTGCTGGCACTTAAGTTAGCCAGACATCAGAAGAATAATGCTCTTGGTACATTGCATCTATTTTATTTTATTTTTAATTTTTATTTATACCCCACCCTTCCCGGTTTAAAAACCAGGCTCAGGGCGGCTAACAGCAAATATAAAACATTGATTAAAATGCGACTTAAAAACAGCATAAAACAGCATAAAATACAACATAAAATGCAGCATCAATATCAATAAAATTAAAAAATTCAGGGGTCATTTTTTTTTGGGGGGGGAGAAGTATATTCAGCATTGAAAACAATAATATAGGCAGAACAACAGCATAGCCTAAGGCTGCAAACCTAAACAAACTCACTAGAGTGTAGGCTCCACTAAACACACACAAACATACTTCTCAGTAAACACACATAATAAGACTGTGCTAGCATTCACAGTAGAACATCCAGTCAATGTGACTTGCCTCCAACTTAACTGCTCATTGATGTGAAAGTAAGAGCAAAGTTCCTCCTATATCCTAGGAGTATGGTATACATTTTTGATGCAGATTATTATTATTTTCTTAATGTAGACACAGAGATTTTTGACCAGAGCTGAATCTTGCAAAACTGCTGTCTAATGAAAAATGTATACAGTATATGAATATGCAAACAGGTGAACATAAATCTGTTCAGACACACTAAGCAAGATGTAAGCTTAGAAATTCTGACGTTGCTATGTGAGAGTAGTATAACCAGATGGAGGAAAGGTGGGAGAGGAATTGTTGCAGGTTTTTTCTTCACAGATCGCAAGATAAATACGAGGACAGTAAATGGAAAAGGTTTTCTTTTTTCTTTGTTAAGAAAGAAAGAAAAACATTAGTCATTATTAATTATATACTGTTAAGTAATACATTAGACTCAACAGCTTGTGAAACATAAGAATAACAGTCCTTAAAACAACTGACAATTAAAAAAAACACAAAACCCTACCATTAAAATTCTATATAGCAACATTGGATCAATAGCAGTGCAGGAATAAAAATGAACTTTTTTTATAAGGAAAAATTTGGTTTCGGAATGAAAATGTCTCCAAGCTTATCAAAACAAAGCTTGCTGAAGGAGGATATGGGAGGGGATTGACAGATCCCCATTTTCCATTGTTAAATGCATTAAACTTATCTCCATTTGTCACCTCATTTGGCAGTCATCATGTCAACATACTTCCTTCAGCAGTCAAAAGCCCACATAACTACTGGGCTAGCTTTTGTATTTGTGGTCAAACAGGTTGGTCTAGTTTCTGCTCTTTGAAGCAGAATGTAGCATATCAGTTTCATTTACTCACTGTTGGATTACAAATCACTAGGAAACAGTCCTGCAGCTGCTGAATCTCCTCAAAGTTCACAAAACTTAGGTTGTGTCTTCAATAGTTGTTTTATTTCCTGGTCAGTATCTTATGAAAACAGATGATGTAACATTCCTGCAATAATCAGTCTCTATTTAAGACCCAAATCAATTTGATTTCCTGGTTTTTGTTTGGGTGTGATGCTAGAAGCTGGTGTTTGAATCCAAGGTACACTATAGACATATATGACAATTAATAGAAGGGTATTTCACAAACCACTCCCTAATTTATCTTGGATAATGGTTTCACTGTATATACTAGAACCATTAAACATATGGTGGATCAAAAACAAATGAGTGGATCAAAACATAATGTGGATCAGATAAATGTGATGTAAAATGTGTACCAAAAAACCCTGCCCTCTTTTCAAAGTATTAATAGCAGCAGGCATGAAAGGGAAATTTAATATACCCGTATTTTTTGCTCTATAAGACGCACCAGACCACAAAACGCACCTAGTTTTTGGAGGAGGAAAACAAGAAAAAAAATATTCTGAATCTCAGAAGCCAGAACAGCAAGAGGGATTGCTGTGCAGTGGGATAGTTGTGCAGCCTGCATTCGCTCCTTAAGACGCACACACATTTCCCCTTACTTTTTAGGAGGGAAAAAGTGAGTCTTATAGAGCAAAAAAGACAGTATTTTCCCTCACTGGGATTCTGAAGAAAATCCTTCTCCTGAAGATAATATTTATACTGGGAAGAAATATCCTATTGAAATCAATATGTTCTGAATTTACAAAGCAAGTGTATATACTGAAGATATCTAACAGCTAACTAATATATTGACAGACCCTCCAAGTATCCCTATTTTCCGGAGATGTCACAGATTTAGAGAAGCTGTCCCAGTTTCTGATTTGATCCTGGAATGTCCTGCTTTTCCTTAGTACGTCCCTATTTTCATTGGAGAAATGTTGGAGGGTATGGAGTTATCCAACCCTCAAGCCATCTGGAGGTAGGGAAGATTTTATTAAAATGTTTGATGTTCTATTGTGTTTTATATATGTTGGAAATTTCCCAGAGTGCTGGCACAACTCAATAAGATGTGTGGGATGTAAATTATAAAATTATCATTATGGAATGGGACATCCCTATTTTCATTGGAAAAATGTTGGAGGGTATGTGTTCAATGGTAATGAGACTGGATTCTGCTCTTACCAAATTACATTAAGGGCTTATCATGAATGGAGGTGCTGATAGGTGCACCACAAGGCCATGTGAACAGACACAGCCCATCTTCATTTTAATTCTCTTCAATGCAATCCTGTACACCAGTAGTGGGGAGCCTACAACCTATTGGTTTAATTAGGCCCATGAGGCCTCCCCATTTGGCACACAACGCTATTTTGGTGAGTGTATGGCCACCTGTCCTTTACTATGATGCTTTATTAAATGTCACTGGGCTACTATTCCCATTGTCCCTGAGCATTGTCCATGCTAGCAGGGTCTGTTGGGAGTTACAATCCAACACCATCTGGAAGGTATCTAGTTGTAAGGTAGGTTGAGTTGAAAGATAGTGACTGGCCCAAGCCTTCCTTGAGAGCTTCATGACAGAATGATGATTTGAATCTCAGACTTCCCAGTTTTGATCACTCTTAAGGCATTACAAAATTCAATGTGTGGAGGAGATATGCCTGACAGGCCCAGCCCCTCCACCCCTCACATTGTCATTTTTAATGGCAAGTTGAAGCGCTTCACAGTTTTGGGATTTCGCATGTGTTTGGACCACTGATTAAAAGGAGGGTTATACACATATTCAGATGAGCATATTTATAAGCTCACTTGAGGCCTCACCACTAAATGTGGCAAGATCAGGATGAAGGGAGTGGGACTGTTGTGGTTAGGCTTTTGTAATGCTTGAATATGTCTTTTTAGCACACCAGTGCCGATGGCATTTTCCATGAAAGAACTTGTGAAACAGTAATCTGGGGCATAGCTTATAAATTTTCTGCTGTCTCTACCTATTGGGCTGTACTGCTGAAAACTAGCACCAGAATCTGTCAGCATATTACAAATAAATGTGAGACATGCTTCCAGTGGTACCTCAGGTTACATACGCTTCAGGTTACATACGCTTCAGGTTACAGACTCCGCTAACCCGGAAATAGTACCTCGGGTTAAAAACTTTGCTTCAGGATGAGAACAGAAATCGTGCTCCGGCGGCATGGCAGCAGCAGGAGGCCCCATTAGCTAAAGTGGTGCTTCAGGTTAAGAACAGTTTCAGGTTAAGAACGGACCTCCGGAACAAATTAAGTATTTAACCCGAGGTACCACTGTAATGTGTTTAGAATCAAGGTGTAAAGGTGCTTTCACATGGACAGATTTCAAGTTAGAAGAGTTGACCTAGGTTGCAGCCTAGGTTCCTGGAAGCAATTTATTTACATACAGTTTGCGACAGCATGAATTCACTGACTTCTTTCATGAGATCCTTAAGGATCCATTCCATGTCTGACATCGTTCTGGTCTATATTTTATCAGTATATCCAAAATCTCCTGTTAGATAAATGAATGTTCTTGCCTTTCCAAGATGTGACGTGGGAACACTTATCCACACCAGAAGACATGTGATTTTCAGGAGGGTTGCAACAATGTACATTATCCATGTGAATTCAGATCACATCTCGCTGTGCAATTCTACATTTTATTTAGAAAAAACCCCTGGCAATCAGAAACTTTTAGACAGCTTGGTATGTCTTTATTTTGGAATCAACAAATGGGAAGAAGTATCCGCAAAATCAGACTGTATAAACTGATTTAGTGTATGATGGAAAACCTGATGAAATGTATGAATGAATTTTATTATTTTGGTCACAGACCAGTTCCAGCCCACATACAATATCAAGGAAGTCATAAAACACGATAGGGATACATTTGAATTTGCAATTAGGTATAACAGGAACAATACAAATATAGCAACAATTAAAAAAATACAAATTAAAACTTAGATGAAATGTAACTTTCTGAAACCCACCCTGAAATCACAGAGGCCACATATCAGAACCTCTTAATGTTTTCGTAGTTTCCAATGTATTTTATCATTGCACAAGTTATCACGTGAAGCTTGATGGTGAATGGAGAAGGTATCTGAATTTGGTAATTTTCAGTTTTGTGATGGCTTTAGCTTCTCTGTTTGAAAACAGTTTGATAACATGGCTGAGTTATGTAAAGCTCTCCTTAAGGCCTTCCTCACTTCCCTGTTTCTAAGGCTGTAGATGATAGGATTGAGAAACGGTGCCACCACTGTGTAGAGGATGGACACCAGCTTGTTGAGATCAAAGGTTCCGATGGCCTTGGGTCGTGCATACATGAATATGGTGGTGGCATAGAACATAGAAACAACTGCCAGGTGTGAGACACAGGTGGAAAAAGCTTTCCGCTTCCCTTTGACGGAGGGAATTTTTGCAACTGTGCAAAAGATGCATACGTAAGATGTTCCAGTGACAGCCAGTGAAGTCATGAGGACTGCTAAAGCTGCCCCAAAATCCAACATCTCAATGGATGAAGTGTCGGTGCATGACAACCTCAACAAAGGTGAGAGGTCACAGAAAAAGTGTCTGATTGTATTTTTCCTGCAAAACTGCAAGTTGGAGATCATCAACACTGATGGAAAGGAAGCCAGGAAGCCACCTAGCCAGGAAACCAGACTCAAGACAGTGAATGCTCTGTGATTCATGAGTGTTGCATAATGTAATGGGTAGCAAATGGCCAAATACCTGTCATAGGCCATAGTTGCCAAGAGAAAGCATTCAGAAGAAGCCAAAGATAAGAAAAAATACAGCTGAGTGATGCAGCCCTCCAAAGTGATTGTCTTCTCACCCAACAACAGATTTGATAACAATTTGGGCATTGTTACTGAGACATAGAATATTTCCAAAAGAGAGAGATTTCCTAGGAAGAAGTACATGGGAGTATGAAGGTGGTTGTTCAATGAAATGGTCAAAATGAGGAGGACATTTTCCAGAAGAGTTAGAAGGTAGATGGTGCTGAAAAATGCAAATAAATATAACTGATGCTGTGGAAGTTCAGGGAAACCCATAATTATGAATTCTACATGTGAGGTTTGGTTCCACATTCTTCTGTAAGTTAATTGCTGCTTCCGCTGTTAATAAAAACAAAGTATTCTAAGCACAATTCTTGGGGTGGGGGGAACAGTCAGTGAAACTGATTCATGCAAAGTGACATCAGTCATATCAATAAATCCACTTATACTAGTAATTATGGCATAGTCTAAAAAAACAATCTGGAAATTCTGAAATCAGTAACGGGGCAAATCAGATGAAAAGTAGATCAGCAGCTAATAAAATAGTCACAAGATTCTTACTCATGTGATTATTAACGATTTCAATGACGTTTTAAAATGTGTGCAGAGATTTATTCAGCCTTTGCTATTGTTCTTCAATTCAGGAGAGCATCTGTTGCTCATTTTGAACATCTTACTTGCATTTACTAGTGGCTTGTAATTTTGATTGTGTGCTGAAGGTCCATTTCCTGGTCTGAGATTAAAATTTCTTTCCTTCTCACTGCAGCCCCAATACAGCCAAAAATCTGCTCTGGAAGGTTGGGGGACCTTCAGGACCAGGTTTTGGAATGTGCATGAGAAGCTGAAGGAAGGGGAAGAGAAACCGGAACTCGCATTGCAAACACTAATTTATGTTGTAGAGCTGGGAAGACAGCACTGGATGCTATACATAGTACAGGACTGTCAAAATACACTTCAGGTTTTATTCTAGTTGAAATGTGATTGTGAGTCTAGCATCAATTTATATATTTTCAATTAATAATAAAACCAATTCAAGCTATTCTCTATGGTTTTCAAGATTGAGAGATAAAGCATAACTCTCTAAAAAGGTAATATATGTTACCAAAATACTCCATTGCTAATTCAGAATACAGTCAAATATCATGACAAATAGGAATTTCCCAATTGACCTCTATGTAATATAGGGTTGTACTTAAAAGTATGTGATACCTACATGAACTAAAAATGATGACCTCACTACTGTCACTGACCTATTGAAATGCAGACAGCTAGTGGAGGAGGAAGAAAAAGAAGCTGAAGCTATCAAGTTCTAATGAAACTGGATTTGGAAACAATAACACAGGCATAATCAGGTTGTCAGTTTCTGTAATATCTCTTCATATCCTTATAACACAACTCTGAATATATATTTTTAAAAAATAATTGGTCTGTTTCAGCCAAATTTATGGTCATATCCACACAATACATTTACTGTATAACATTTGCAAAACATTGCTAGGAGAAACATTGATTTCTCCTAGAATATCTTAGGAATTGTAATTTGTTAAGGGTGCTGGGAACTGTAGCTCTGTGAGGGGTCCCACAGCAACTCACAGCACCTTTAACAAACTACAGCTCGAATGATTCTTTGGGGGAAGCCATCACTGTTAAAGTGACAGGAGAGTGCTTTAAATGTATAGTGTGAATGTGAACTGCCTTCAAATTGAGTTAATGCACCATACTAAATTTGGCTGGAGCATGTCCTGCTTCAATGTATCTAGGACCCTGAGACTTAAATCTTGTACACACTTACCTGAGAGTAAGACCCATTGGATTCAGCAATGCCTACTTGTGAACAGACACGATTACATTGCACATCTTCTTTTTAACTAGTTATTGGATTGCGATAGTTCTGGAGAAGGTAGACCTTTCAATGGCCCATTCTCCATGCTTTCTAAAGGCAACTGTAAAAAAAGAAGGAAATCCATACTTGGATGGTTCTAAAATTCTTTTTTTTTATATAAGATATTTATTAGGATTTTTAAAATATTACAATAAAAAATGAAAAAGAAAAAAAAAATACAAAATAAAAATGATTAAAAACACTCAGATTTTCTATTACTTATTTTTCCTTACCTTGTTTCCCGGACCTCCTCATACCTCCCTTTCTTGTATTCCAGTTCACGGATGGTTCTAAAATTCTTATTGAAGCACTTCTACATCTGTCCTCTTTCAAGATGATGAGAAGCTCAGATGTGAGTGATGTAATTTTTCAAAAGAGTCAAACAAGAAATCCTAAATGAGCAGAACCCTGGAGCTTTAACTTCTCATAGCCTAAGAGATTTCCTTCTTATGGCTTTGCTTAGTCACAAATCCCACCTCTGTCCTATTATGTTAATAAGTTTATGGAATGCTGGGAGATCCACTTAGAATGTGGCTAATGATGGCAACAAGGTATCTTTCTCTCTCCCCCACCTTCCTTCTCCTCTCTCTTTTCTCTTCCAGTTACCATACATTTGCCTCCCTACTGAACTGATAAAACACATTTAACAATATTTTGAAAGGCGGCACTTTATTGAAATCAGTGGGATTTAGCTTTCTTTGCTTCATTTGCCGACTGACCTTGGCTTGGCTACAGTACCCTAGGTCTCCAACAACAACAAAATTCTCAAAAAGCATATAATAGGGAGAAATGTGCTTTAGAATGCATAGATTAGTTGAGACAACATACAAAAATGCATCCTGTTATTGGAAATTGCTTGCAAAATGGTTTATATAAGGAGAAATGTGCACTAAAGAACCACATTTGGTAACTGGTTCAAAAAAAACCAGAGCCTGGCTGAGTGATGGCTTGAATCTAGGTCTCCCCAATGGGTCCTGTCCCCAATGTAGTATGTTTCAGTTTGTAGCGAGGTGTTTATCAACTAAGCCACCATTGTAGAATCACCACAGCAGTATGAGGGTATGTTCTGAAGAATGCATCAACATGGCACCCACAGACACCAGAGTGCCCCCCAGTATGGCACCTGCAAGTGTTCTAAATATATATCCTTTCAAAAAAACATAGTGTATCAGAGATTATTAGCTCTTCCTGTTCAGATCTTGTTGGCACTGGTTCAACTTATCCTTTATTAAACATACCCTCTCAGGCAGTCCCATGCTTCATTTGATATGAGGAATGGATATGCACCCTCCACCCCATTCTGAAGAAAGGGAAGCTGCAAAAAACTTTTCTTTATGAACGACTGCAGTGGTGACTTATATAGATGCACCCCTCCCCCACAATTGATGGAGGAAGGTGATGGATGCATACCTATACCTGTCTCTTTTTCTGCTCTTTTAATTGTGGCATCAATTTCATGTTATGCCATGAAATCATGGCAGCCATTTTGTGTTGTGCCATGACCACACAATAGTCCTTTTGTGACTGGTTCCCATAGCACCTCCTCAAAATTCCAATGTGCCCACTGGCTCAAAAAAAGTTGGCAAACCCTGTTCTGAAGGCACAAGAGGGAAGGGGAGAGAGCCAAGATACTTCCAGCCTCCTAGTAGGGTAGACTCACATTTTGAAAGTGCTCTCTCCCCTCCCCTCTCCTCTCCTACTGGGTCCTGCAGGCTCTGAAAACACCATAACTCAAAAATGTCCTCCACCATCAATGTTTGTTTCACGCCCCCTTGTCTTCCTCTCTGCATAACATATTTATGGACGGCGCAGAAGATGAGAAGCCAAGCTACTATTAAAGGGGCCATGGACAAAATTGCAGCTACACTAAAACTGCAAGCCCCTTTAAGAGCAGCTTAAATTGGGACTTCTTGTGGCAGTGATAGCTTAATTGTTTCTGTGGCAGTCCCAGCAATTTTGGGGTATTTGGAGGGTATGTGCTATTACCAATGGAGAGATAAGGAAATAGTAGCAGCAACAGTAGTTCAGAAAAATGTACATGAAGTTTGAAGTGTCCGTAAATAATGCATATTAAACCATTTAAATGTTTATTCATATTCTGTTGACCTTCATGTTAAACACAATTAAGGGGAAGCAATGATAAGTTTACTGCTTTGTCTTAGTTTCTTTCAATTTCTCCTCATTGATCCACAGAGGGACATGGTATGAGTCTGAGATGTTTGCCTTCTTCTGAAAAGTCAATTTACCGTTCCAGTGGCAATGAGAGTTGTGGACTGGTGCAGTCATGGGGGAGTCGGGAGGGAAACTTCCTGTTCCCACATGACCAATGGACAATGTAATCTCCTCCATCATTTGCAGGGGTTGTCAGGACTTGCCCGTGAATTGACCAATCATGGGCGAGCTAAGGGGCTGGACTTTTGAAGTGGACCTGAGTGAAATCTGACCCTGCCTTAGATCAGCCTCCATTTTATTTGAACTGGGTGTGCTTGCACTCAGAAGTGTGGTAGGCTTTATTACTTCTTCCTATGCTCCAACCCCAACAATTTCGGGCTCACTGCACCTGGGGCCATAATGCACATTCTTGGGGCTCTCCTACACCTCTTGAAATCAGAGAATGTAGCATCATTTAGGGGGAAGGCCAACCCTATATTGAGAACAATTACTGAAACAATGTTAGATATAAAATTGTTTTCCTCAGATATTTGGAATTGGGTCAAAGGGATGCTTTAGTTCAGGCATAGGCAAACTCCGACCCTCCAGATGTTTTGGAACTACAATCCCCATCATCCCTAGCTAACAGGACCAGTGGTCAGGGATGATGGGAATTGTAGTCTCAAAACATCTGGAAGGCTGGAGTTTGCCTATGCCTACTTTAGTCTCTTTGAAATGAAATTCACTTGATGTGAATTTGAGAGATTTAAGCTTCTGTTTAATACTTCCATCTTTAGTAAATGGATGAGGATGATAAAGAATGGTGGTGACAGAGAGCAGTGAGAATAGGGAAGGACACTGTAGCAATTCAGAAGTCCTACATCAAATGCACAGATGATTCTGTGCACTGCCAGGAAATGTTCCATGCACCATGCAAATGACACATATACAGAACATCAGCCTCTGTCTTTTCTGCTAATTTGTAACATAGTTGTGAATCTGAATGTGGCCCTGAAAGCTTCTTGCACCTCAGTATTTCTGAGTGTGTAAATGAAAGGATTTAACAAAGGGGTTACAATAGTATTCAGGAGAGTGACAGTTTTGGTCAATTCTAGTGACTGATGCTTGGCAGGTGTGATATGTAGGAAAATGGTAGAACCATACCATATTATCACCACTGTGAGATGGGAGGAACAGGTGGAAAAGGCTCGTTGACGGCCTTCAGCAGATGCAATCTTTAATATTGTGGTGATGATATAAACGTAGGATATTAAAGTTATCACACATGAGCCCATGATGACAATACCAGCAAGTATGAACCATGCCATTTCTAATGTGTACGTGTCAGTACAGGAAAGGACTATCCAAGGCACAATGTCACAAAAGAAGTGGTTGATAACATTGGAGTCACAGAAAGACAATTGGGTAATAAGGAAGGCTGGTACCGAAATCGCTGCAAAGCCACATATCCAAGATCCCAATGCCATTTGGACAGACAACATTTTGGACATGATGGTGTGGTAGTGCAATGGGTGACATATGGCCAAATAGCGGTCATAAGCCATGACAGCAAGCAGGAAGTATTCTGTACATCCCAAGGAGAAAACAATGTACATCTGTGTGATGCACCCTGTGAAGGTGATGGTTTGGTGGCTCTTGGACACAAGGATTGCTAAAGTCTTGGGAATACAGGCTGATGTGTACCATATCTCCAAGAAGGAAAGATTGCAGAGGAAGAAGTACATGGGTGTGTGGAGTTGTCGTCTGGCTCGCACTAAAGCTATGATGGCCACATTTCCAGTGATTGTCAGGATGTACATAAAGAAAAAGAGGATGAAAAGGAAGATTTGTAGTTCATGAGATCCAGAGAAACCCAGAAGGATGAATTCCTTCACAGTGGAGTCATTTCCTTCTCTCATCAGAATCAGGTGTTTTTCTGCCAAAACAACATTCATGAAAATTTAGTGATTGGAAATGGTGGCTCTTATACTCTCACTTATTTGAAGAAATATTAATAATGCTCTCCATAGAATAACTATTAAGAAATAAAAATATAAGCCAAAAGTTCATTGTGAGAGGATTTTATTAATTTAGCACTTTAGTTCAAAATAATTTCTTTCTCAAATGAAATATCACTACTTCTCATATAATATCAATTTGTCTTACTGTAAAGATTTCTATTCATAAATCAGTTTATATTATTTTGTCCATTTTTACACCTCTACGTTCTATACACTTTTGTTACAGGTCTTCAGCCTAGAATTAGTGGGTGTCTAGAATACATGCTGCATTTTCTGCCAGAAGGGCAGAGAGATGCTTTGATTTCTGTTTACAAAATTACTCTCTTTTACTCTGGATCTTTGGCATATTAATATCATTAGCAAAAAATAAATATATTAGAAAACCAAACAACACAGAAATAAATTATCACAGGAATATGATTTATACTAATGAAAATAATATATGTTCCCCTGAAATTTACTATTCCAGCAACTGATTAATAAAATTCTATTTTCATTAAATTTATCAGAGATTTTTCTTTGCTTCATAATCTTAGGATGGTAAACTGTAGTCATGAGGGCTATATCCACACTTTAAACCTATTAAACAAGGAGATGCTCTAGAAAAGTTTCACTTTGTAATGTTTCTCTTAAAGATTTTCCTGGTGTTAGGATGCTGACAATGATGGCTTTAATGGGATTTTATCAATGGCTTTAAGCATGTGTTATTTTGCTGTCCAACATAGAGCAAGAGAAGTCCATTATTTTCCTAGTCCAGACCACTATGCACACAAAAGGGAAGGTGGCAGTGCCGGGTCTTGTGGAACAGTGGGGGAGGGAGGACATTTCTCTCTGCTGTGATCTTGTATGGTCCCATGGAATAGGGATCACATATTATAGCAAAAGTATATACAGTTGTCCCAATTGTTTAGAGCCGATACATGTGAGTGGGTACTTATTTTTGTGTTTGATTTCCAATTAACAAGAGTAGTTAATTGGAAGTTCCATGAAGAAATTTGAAAGAATATAATTCTTGGGGAAATCGCTACTACCACATCTACACACATTAACCATTACATTTACAACTACAACTTATTTCCCTTCTTCTGAACACTCTAAACTTCTGTCATTGAAATAGTAGAGTTTAGTTCTATTAATTTGTCCTGGATTGTGCCCTAAGTGATTTATAATAAAGACAATTCTTACCTTTCTATTGTTCCGATTAAGCTGATGAAGACCTCAAGACCAGTGTCACAATTAAAGAAAAAACTTCATTCCTTGGAGATAAAAAAGTTGTTATTGTTATCTGTGAATTTTCTTGCATTAAAATAATAAGCATTCTCACTTGAAAATTTATGGTGCTTGCCTAATCCATTGCAACACATTTTTTTTAGTTTCTGATCCCATGTGTTTCAACCTTTATGCATCTTTGTTGAGAATTCTCTCCTGACTATAGACAATAAATTTATACACTTTGAGTAAATGCAATGGGTGCTTCTTGATTTATTATTAAGTCGCAGGAGTAATGTCTGTGTATTTATTTACTTATTTTAATGTGCCAGGTGTATTGGATCAGGGAGAATGGGTTTTTCTCCCTAGGGTATAGGAGGAAACTCATTCACAAACTTTATTTATATATAGCATCTGCAGCTGAAAAAAAAATATCCCTGAGCAGCTAACAAATAGTGACAAGACTCTGTTTCAATATCTCTCTTTTAAAAGCAGCAACAAAAACACAGTATATACAAGTGTAGTTCTATGTTGCATGCATCTGGAACATCACTGCAGTCAATCATTACTCAGGATGTAATTGAAGGAAAAAAGAAATTATAGATAAGCAAATAATTTTAGAGCTTTTATTTTGGGAGGGGAAGGTCAGTTTAAGGTAGGGATGGCTAACTCAAAGCTCATGTCCTCATGTGGCCCACCAAGCCATAGAAACCGACCTGCTCATCCCTGCTGCTTTATCTATCGTTCTTCTTGGGTGATCAAGATCTATTTTTGCAGATAAGAAATATCTAAGGAGCAGACAGTGCACAATATCTCCTGAATGGGATATAAACTTTTATCTTGCTGCCCTTTAAATCTCTCAGTTGCAGTCAGAGCAGAAATGGCTCACTGAGTGACTTTCTAAAATCATCATCATCATCAAGACAAGCTGATGATGAAATGTGGAGAAGATTGGAAACAATGAGAAACAGAGATACCAAAATTGACAGATTCTACCATCCCTACCACCAGCTTCGTTTCCACTTGGTTCTTCCCAAAAGCCAGATAGATAAAAAGTGTG